ATATTAGTAATGGACTTTTAAAATCTTTTAAAAAATCTAAAGGTGAGATTAAGTGAAAACTAATTCGGGCTTATCGTTCAACACCATCTGCAAATCATCCTCACTGTCACTGTCCCAATCATCCCCTTCTCCTTCCCCGTATACTTCACCGCCAACAATCGTGTTCTCCTTCCTGAGGTCGTTCCTTCCAGACTCGTCAGGATTGCCCGATTCAGATAAACCGGGGATAATCGGGTCAGAGTTGAGGTCATTAATCCCACCGTTGCCCTCTTCGATATCAAATTTCACAACATTTAGCACCTCCAATTTCTTCCTTCGAGGCCATATTCGTCAATTTCACATTGCGAGTGTCCAAAAACCTAGGCTTTGCAGCTGAATCACGGTCCGTCTGGAGGCCAGGGATCGAATCGGCGAAACTCGGAGCAAGGTTTAGGGTGTGCGGATTGGGATGGGAAGCTCCATAGAGGACGTCGTTGGGATCACATTGGAGGTTGAGATCGATCGGGCGGCGGAGTGGAGCATATGAAACAGAGGGCTGGTGCGGCAGCGGAGCAGAAGCCGACGAGAATGGGTGGAGGACGTCGGTGTAGAGATCTCCGAACTCATGGTCGTCTTCCATGGGATAGAATTTTGGGGAGAGCAAGAGAGAATGTCCCGCGTTAGAAAAGGGTTTTGAGTTACGTTAGTTTGATTTAATACGCGAGATTTTTCAGTTTTTACATTTACTGTCTACGTTGGAACTTTTATTATATGCATTAATTATTTTTTTTCTTTTATTCAATCTTAATATCTAAAAATTATATTATTAAATTTCGTGTTAATTTGAATTCAAATTAATATGAATTCAATAAAAGAAAAGTCTTTTAATATATTTTTTTATTCACAAAATTTAAAATTAAGATCTTATTTAAAAAAATTAAATTCTTTCCTCTTAAACTATCTATAGTTTATTGATATTAATTAATTTATATAGGAAAATAAAAAATTAACTTTAATTTTAACGCTCATATAATTAAAAACTTATAATATTGTGATATTATTTTTTTGGCACATTTGACAACAATATGATATATAAGAAGGGATAACTTTTCTAATTTTTTAAAATTAAATGTTAATTTTAATCCCTTAACTTTAATATTTTGTATAATTTTCATCCATCAATTACTTTTTGCACTTTTTTTATCTTTCAACTTCAAAAACCACACAATTTTAGTTTCTCCATCAATTAATCCCATTAACTCAGTTCACATGGCATTTTTCTTATTTCTTATAATGACATTTTAATAATAAATCATAAAATTAACTTAGATGAACAATGCCAAATCAAATTTAATTGTCATTTTTAACTCTTTTCAATTTTTTAAATATAAAATTACTAAAATACTTGTAATTTATTCTTCTTGCCATTATTCTCCTTAGCCTTTTCTCTCTCTCTATTCTCCTTACCACCACCATCATTTCTAGCCATCATTCCATCCATCGTTCTTCTCTCTTTGTCATTGTTTCTCTTCTTCCTTCCCTCTCTTCCCCCTTTCTTAGCTATGACTAGGTTCGTGAGGAACCCAACAATGAGTTCGTCACGAACCCAAATAACTTGGGTTCATTGGAAACCTAGATCTTATTTAGGCTCATCGTGAACCAAGTTCCTGAGGAATCCAAATCTAGATTCACATGAATTGAGGAATGGATTCCTATTGAACCCAGATCTAGGTTTGTATAAACCTAGAAACGGATTTCTCACCCTCACCCAAATCAACTGCTGATTTATTCGATAGCCTCATGTTTGACTTATCTAATCTCCTTTTTTCGTCTTTCAGTGGATTGGGGGTAATCAAACGAAATTCAAATAATAAACAGTGGGTTAAAGGCAACAGGCAACCAATTGGGCAAAAGGAACGAAATAGTGTGAGAATAGTAAATGATGAACAAGCTAAGAACAATGAAGCCTTTGCAAAATCTTTTGAAAAGAATGAACATGCTAAGCACAATGATTTCCAATCCAATTTCTTCTAGTTTTGTCTATGTGATTTTGGAAGAATACCAGATTTGAAAATTTTTTTACATGGAAAAGCGTAGGGTTTATAGATGAGATTTTGGTTGGTTTTGTTTGGATTTGTCTACGAAGTAGAAATCAGTTGATTTGGGGAGAAATTTGAA